TATCGAAGTGCTTCAGTTAGAGGGCTGGCAATGCTAGAGTAGTTTTGCACCTAATGATGATAGCATCCAGCTAGGCCCAATAATGCCCTTATCTAAGACTTTGTGGTTGGTCGTGGATAGTTAACGACGGCGGCTACCTTAATTTCTGAAGGTGTACGCCGGCCACGCCCCACGACGTGTCCCAGGTAAGACACCTCGCCGCACCCTAGGTGACATTAAGTAGGTTTCACGGTTAGACCTGCTTCTTTCAACCTGTTCAGCACGACGCGTAAATGCTCGACATGTGCTTCCCAGTTGTTTAATAAGATGACGACATCGTCAAGATACGGCAGAGCTAACTCAGAGAGGCCTTTAAGAACGCGGTCCATTAAGCCTGAAAAACAAAAGGGCGCAATTTTCAATCCAAAGCTCAGCCTAAGTGGACGATACGTTCCAAATAGAGAAACGAATGTGGCATAGTGGCTAGCACGCTCCGTAAGCGAAACTTGTCAATACCCTCGCACGAGGTCTAACGTATAAATATAGCTGGACTGTGACACAGTTTCTACCCTCTCCTATAGGTTTGGTATCGGATAAGTATGGTGTCGAGTTATGGCGTTAAGACGCCGATAATCAATGCATGTCCTCGGATTTTTTCCCAGCACTTAAACCAATATTAGAGGGGATGTACAGTCACTCTCGCCAGGTACAATGACTCCCAACTCTAGCGTTTTATCGATCTCCTCTTTCATGATCTGCTTTTGCATAGGGGAACAACGATACGGCTGGCTACGAATTGGCTCCTCACAAGTTAGCTCGATATAGTAGAGGTTTTTAGTTTGACGTTTTTACGCTCCGCTTAGCAGCTAAGCGGAGCGGGAACGCGTATGCGCATGCGCCCTCCGCTAAGGCCTTAAGCGGGTTACCGGAGCGGGGAATACGGTCCGCTTACGAGCAGCCTAAGCGGAGCGCGGTGCGTCGCTGCCGTTTTTGCAAGCGGAAGGGGGACAACGCGCGCGCCCTCTCTCATGCGTGCAGCAACTTTGCTCAATTCAAGATGGCTGCCTCCGGAGATAGCACGCTTTCCGCGAGTGCTGCAGCTTCGCCGTCACCTGCCCAGCGCAAGCCGCGAAAACACAGTTTCAATGGTGAAAATTAAAAACGCCGCCACCACACACGCGTCAAAAGCGCAAACAACACACAGTGAATGCTTGCAATGGATCTGGAACGGAACCTTGCTGGCTTTTGAGTCAGAGCTTGCTTCTTTGTCAAAAAGATAAACGGTTAATACTTTGAAAGTGAATTTCTAAATACTTCATGAAAAGATAATTTATACGTTATTGTTTTGTTTTGTATACGTGGAAAATGTTTTTTATTTTGTTTACCGACGATGAAAACGACCAGAGGGCGCTGCAACGGCGAAAGGTCTAGGGTGCCTTGATGCCCGCGCACTCCGCTGAGGGTGAGGACAGCCGCGTCGTCTGCTACGACCGCCGCCACTGCGCCTCCGCACCACAACTCGACCGTGTGCGAAGCCCGCTACGCAACGCTCGTGTGGTGCCCTGATACGCCCGGAATTATGTGCAAGTTAGCGAGCTTTTGTTCTTATTGAAGCTTGGACATCTTTTAGAGTTAATTTTGCCTGAATGCATGCAGGGAGCGCATATTTCATGTAAGCTGACGGCTTGCGCATGATTTATGCGCTAGAGGCAGACGCTGACTTTTTCATGTTGAAAACAAATCCCTACGCCGGTTACCACAGAGGGGATTCTAAATCTATATCGGTGGTGTCGTTTATATGCTTTCTTTGTTAGTGTTAATTATTATCTGAGGCTTTTACGTTCTAAATGACGCCTGATTGCAGGACTGCAGCAATTTTGACAATCAGTTTTTTTTTTTTTGCCTGCACTGACGCAGTACATGGGTGTCCTCTGGTGTTTCATGTTATTCAAAATGAGACCGCCGTGGCCTAGATCGAAAGCGTGAGCCTCGCGTCAGCAACCGAGCACCGTGCCCACGGTACCACTGAGGCGGACGCCTTTCTTATTGCATTAACTATTTCTCCACGATCTTCTCATCGCACAACTTGACTTGTTTTTTTTTTGCTTTTTTGCGACATAGCGTGTTCATTCTACACAGCGGTGCCCCGTCTTGTCTTTATGCATCTTCTTTGTATGGACGCTTCGCGGGTACAGTTTGCATAAGCACTTGCGTATGATCCCTGATAGCTCACAGTATTAATAAATAAATTATTTACTTAAATATTAATGCGTGCTGAAAGAGTTCAAATACTGACGGTGTGTGTGTGTGTGCGTGTGTACACGCCTGCCGTTTCCCCTATTATCATCCAGTGTAGAAATAATTTATTTTTGTGCATTAATGCAGCACTGCCAGAAGCAATTCAAATTATACGCTCCATGGCAGAATTCACTGAGTACTGTCACTAGTTGCTTCGCAGTGGTCGTAAATGATTAAAAAACAACATCAATTGCGTAATGATTCGAGACAGGACGAAAAAAAAACTTGAAGTACAGGAACAATGAAGAAAATTTGAACTGCACACATTCTTACAAGGGTCATCACACCAGCATAGAAGGCGTACCTAAACCGAGGAAAAGATCGTAGAAAGAAAGAACCTGTGTGGCTTTGTAATGGTTTGGGCGCTCGAACGGTCGGTAATCGAATTCCGGCCGCAGTGGCCCCACTTCGATGGAGATGAAATGCCGGAGTTCTTAAACTTAGGTGCAAGTTACATAAAAACACCTGTTCAAAATTTCCGAAGTCCTCCAATGTATACCATGTCTCTCGTGATCATATGGTGATTCCGGAACGTACACACACTCTTTAAACTTCCGTGGGTACGACACCGCCGCTGCGCAAAGCTTTATTCCCACAAATGAATATTACAAAAAAAACAAGGATATCATCTGCAAAGAAACACGTGTAATGTATACTTAATAATAAAGTTCTCATCGCACATAGTGAAACCAAGAATGAAAGGCAGATACAGTACCAACCAAGAGCAGCAAGCAATGTTTACGAAGTGAAATACGCGATTCATGCACACGAGAATCAAGCATACAGCCGTCAGCGTGTCTGTTGCTTACACGAAATTGGTGCCGGTACAAATTATGCATGCGGAATACCGGCTGGAAACTTACGCTGTGAATGGATGATCTGTTTGTCGGATGCCACTTGTCATGTTTGATTTTCACTGTTGAAAAGGCCTTCATTTCGGGTCTCTTAGGAAACGATACAGCTTCCAGAGTTTTTGCAATGATTAGTGCCCTGTGGCACGCCATACCCGCTACGGTGACGGTAGCGAGCGCATTAAACCGGAGAAAAGCGAGCGCCAGCACAATTAATCGGGCGCAGCGAACACGCAGAAGTGACTGAGTGGAGTCAAAATGGCGGCCATGCCGCCGCTAAGGCCGAGGAGGTGGCACCTGCCTTTACAAAGGCTGACACCACTCTAAGCGGGGGCGCGCGCATCGAGGCACTCTAGGTCCGCTTCGCTGCCGGCAACGAATAACTAAAAGAGAAAAATCAGCCGCCGCTCCGCTGCGGCTTCGCGGGTGTTCCCGGAGCGGGGCGGACCACAAAAACGTCAAACTAAAAACCTCTAGTGTTTGCCACGAACTGTTGGCCACCGCTAAACAAGCGCTGCCAGTCTACGCTGCGCGCGCCTTCTATCTTATCTCCCTCTTCCGCTTCCCTTACCAGCCGGACAATAAACGCTCGCTTTTTGCCCTGGCCACTCTGTTCGTGCATTCCGGGGCGCGGCCCAGCCGCGGGGCCGGTTATAACAGTGGCGACGAGTATTTCAACAAAGAACGAGACCCAGCTGCTTCCTGAAGGCAGGCAAGACCACCCTATCGAGAGGCGTGAGTCACCGCCTCCCGGAATTCAACGACGACACAGATAAGTGGCAAGCGTACCTCGTGAAGGTTGAGGCATATTTTGAAGCAAACGAAGTCACTGACGATGCCAGGAAAAGAGCCCTGTTGGTAGCCGCACTTGGGTCGCGAACGATTGATGTGCTATGCGGTAGAGTGGCACCGCAGAAGCCAAACGCACTCGGCTACGATGCGGTAGTGAAAGTTATAAGCGAGTATCATGACCCACGACCAAACGAAATTTCAGAAAGCTTCAATTTTTTCCACCGAAACCAGCAGGAAGGAGAGTCTGTTCACGCATTAATTGTGGAAATACGGCGCCTAGCGCATAACTGCAACTTCTCGTCCATGCTGGATAGGATGTTAAGGGAGCGTATCGTGTGCGGGGTACGTTCAAGAAATTCGCAAAAGCAGCTGCTCGCGAAACCTGAGTTGACGTTACAAGAAGCAGAGGCACTTGCGTTAGTGGCAGAAAGTGCAGAGTTAGATGCGGAGAACATAAATCGAGAAACGCCCCCGGTAACAGTGTCGGCAATGAAGGAACAACGATGGGTGCCGCGAGGCCAGAAGAAAAACGAAGGCGGAAAGCCATGCGAGTGCTGCGGAAAGCGTAATCAAAAGCGCGCGATCTATTCAATGCGTGGGAGGCACTGTTACAAATGTGGAAAACAAGGGCACTTGGCACGCGTGTGCCAACGGATCGACAACGCGTTTAATGTAACAGCCCAAGCCAACGACAGTGATAGCAGCACGTCGCAACTTTGGTCCGTAACTTCGAAGAATTCATTGATACCACCGATTCAGGAAACGTTCACGTGGAACGGCGTCAAGCTGAAAATGGACGTTGATACCGGCTCGCCCGTATGCGTCATTCCTAGAGCAACCCACAAAGCCCACCGTCATCAATGGCCGAAGTTGCAGGAGCCGAAGATAAAGCTGGCGTGCTATTTGGGAAGCTACCCGTACTCGGAGTACTGTCAATGCGTGTATGCCACAAATCGGCGGAGGTTGATTGTAACCTAATCGTCTTGGACTGCGAAGGTCCTCTCCTGTGGGGTCGTGATTTGCTGCAGAAACTACAAGGGCAGGGCACAGCAGTACTCCACGTAGCTGCGCCACCACTAGGGTCGAGCCCGGAGTCTCCGCCCACACCTGCTGTGTTGGACCGCTACTCCGACCTGTGCACGGAGGGCGTAGGACTCATGAGAGGCCCACCGGTGCGCCTTCACATCAAGCCTGGAGTGACGCCGAAGTTCTTCAAGGCAAGAAAGGTACCCTACGCTCTGTTGGATAAAGTTTCAGAGGCATTAGATCGACTCGTGGCAGCTGGCATTATATCACCAGTGACGCACTCGGAATGGGCTACGCCCATTGTTCCAGTCTTAAAGAAAGACGGCACAGTTCGCATATGCGGTGACTTCAAGATTGCTTTGAACTTAGTATGCGAGCTGGAACAATACCCGCTGCCTCTTATTGAGGATATTTTTGCGCAATTAGGTGGGGGGGGGAGCGGTTCAGCATTTTGGATTTGCGCGACGCCTACAACCAGATCCCACTAGACGAAGAGTATCGCAAATTGGCCGTGATAAACACCCACAAGGGCCTCTTTTGCTTCAAACGCCTCCCGTTTGGGATTGCTTCGGCATTGGCGATATATCAAAGGCGGATTGAATCAATCCTACAGGGCTTGCCTGGGTTGCAAGCGTACCTAAATGACGTGTTGATAACGGAAGAGGGTGACAGCCAAAACCGCAATCTGATGGCTGTGCTCGAGCGCTTCCGTGAACATGGCGTTAAGCTTCATGCTGATAAGCGCCACGTTAGCGAGCCCTCTGTAACATATCTAGGTCACCGTATTGACACGAACGGACTGCATTCCATGGAAAAGAACGTGGATGCTATCAGGCTAGCCCCCTCTCCACAGAACGTCTGCGAGCTACGCTCATTTCTGGGCATGGTAACCTTTATAACAAGTTTATGCCCGACTTGTCTACCATTCTAGCACCGTTGTACAAACTGCTGAAAAAGGGTGCTAAGTGGACGTGGAGCACAAAAGAAAAGAAAGCCTTTGTCCAGGTGAAAAATGCGTTGTGCGCGGCACCCATACTCACTCATTTTGACCCGAACCATGAGCTCTTCTTGGAGTGTGATGCGTCCCCAAACGGAGTTGGTGCTGCACTTTTTCATCACACCGAAGGCGAGAAGCGACCCGTAGGCTTTCGATCGAGAACGCTGACAACTGCCGAAAGAAAGTACTCTCAGATCAAGCGCGAGGCGTTAGCCTTGATATTTGGTGTTACTAGGTTTAGGGACTACCTGCTGGGGCGAGAGTTCACTCTGGTTACGGATCACCAGCCGTTGCTGGGCCTGTTAAGGCACGACCGTCAGACCCCCGTCATGGCGGCAGCCAGAATACAAAGATGGGCGCTACTACTTGGTGCATACAAGTATAAACTGCAGTACAAGCCGGGAAAATTTATGCTCAACGCGGATGCATTAAGCCGGTTACCCCAATCTCTTGAACAGGAGCTGCAGGACGACGAGGATGCGGCCAAGTACGTCCTTGTCGTGGACCAGTGGGACGAGCCGGCGGTGCCCATGAAAGAGCTTCAAGCCCTCACGCAGTCAGACGGCGTACTGTCAAGTGTGTGCAGGTACGTCATTCAAGGTTGGCCACAGCGCACTGCGGAAGAAGGCACAGAGATGCGGGAGTATCACAAAAGGCGGAACGAGCTGTCCGTGCAGCATAACTTGCTTCACTGGGGTCATCGTGTTGTGGTTCCGGCGGAAGCCAGGAAGAAGCTACTGAAGTTATTACATGGAGCTCATCAAGGAGTTTCTGCAATGAAGGCACGCTCAAAATTTTGGTGGCCTGGCTTCGAACACAATATTGAGCGCTTAGCCGCTGTGTGTCAGCACTGCGTACAGGTGTTGCCCATGCCACCCGCGCAAGCACCCATTCGCCTGCCAGAGACGCAGGAAAGATGGTCGCGACTGCATGTCGACTTCGCGGGTCCGATCCAAAACAAGATGCTTCTTGTCGTCGTGGACTCTCACAGTAAATGGATTGAGGCCATTCCCCTGGCTCACGTGACCTCGCGCAACACAGTCGATGCCCTGCGAACGCTGTTCAGTAGATTCGGTCTGCCACACACAGTAGCGTCTGATAATGGCACGCCATTCACCGGATGGGAGTTCAACGAGTTCTTGCAACAGAACGGGGTAGTTCACGTGTGGGCACCCCCCTACTATCCACAGAGTAATGAACTCGCCGAACGTGCGGTGCGAACCATCAAAGACGGACTAAAGAAGTGTGGGGACGCAGACTTGTCAAAGACGCTGGCTAGAACACTGTGCCGCTATAGAAACACGCCGATTCCGTCCGGGCGCTCACCATCAGAAATGTTGTTGGGTTACCAGCTCCGCACCCGATTAGACATGTGTTTTCCTCCCAGGAGCCGAGCAACAGGGGATGTCCACTCTGCTGACAGCGCCGGGTGGAACTTCGCTCCGGGAGATCCTGTGTACCTTCGCAATTACGGCCGTGGTGACAAGTGGACACCTGGGAAGGTCTGGTCAACCTCTGGTGCACGCATCGTGTCTGTCGACACAGAGAACGGGCTTGTTCACCAGCACATGCACCAGCTCAGGCGGAGAAGCATCGAAGAACCGTCGAGTCCAGAGGCTCTCACTAGCCCCCAGATAAGCCCGGACCCTCCAGTACAAGACTGCGAAGCTCCAACGGCTACTGGCCCAGGTCTTCCGGGCCACCCGCCCCCAGAGCTAAGACGCTCCACACGTATCAAGAAGCCAGTGGAGCGTTATGGATTCTAAGGAAGGACAATAAACGCTCGCTTTTTGCCCTGGCCACTCTGTTCATGCATTCCGGGGCGCGGCCCCAGCCGCGGGGCCGGTTATAACAGTGTTAAATCACCGTCGTGTTTCCGGGACGGTCCGAAAACACGTCTTCAAACTCAGAAACAAACCTTCTCAGGTCCTCCTTCTGGACTTCACTTAACCTAGGCTCTAGGTTAAGCTGCTCCAAGATTACCTCCGCTCCCCTTTCGATTACATCACTAGAACTCAAAATTTCTGCTCCCTCTTCCTCTGTAGCATTCAACAGCAGATTTACGACCACTTGACGTTGAACGTATGGTTTCATCAAGTTACTGTGGTAAATTTTCTACGGCAGCCTTCCTCATGTCACTTCATAATTGGTATCAGAAAGCTTCGATATTACTTTGGCATACGCCCAATGAACCTCAAGCTTGTTCTTTTTGCACAGTCGCAGCAGCATTACCTGACTACCTACTTCAAAGGTGCGCTTCTTCACCGATTTGTCGTAGTACTCCTTCGACAACACTTGTGCAGCCTTCATCAGTATTTCCACAAGGTCTTTCGTTTTTCCAGGCCTCTGAAGGAGGTCTAGAACATACGCAACTACATTAGGGTCCTCATCGAATTTCTCCCAGTACTCGCGTATCATTCGCAATACTGTTCTCAAACTTCTGCAATACACAAGCTCTGCAGGGCTAAAACCAGTGCTCTCATAAGAAGCTGATCTCAAAGCAAACATAGCGGGAGGAATACACGCTTCCCAGTCGCATTTGTGCTCGTAGCAAACAGCTCTCAGTATCCGTTTCAGAGCGGAATGCATACGCTCTACCGGATGGGATTGAGGGTAATGGATCGAGCTGTGCACTAGTTTTATTCCACATATATCCAAAAAGGTAGAGGTAAGGCAGCTGGTGAAGACACTATCATTGTCGCATTGGATTTCACAAGAATATCCGACGCGCACAAATATAGATAGCAGTGAATCCACGACATGAGGAGAATCGAACTCCATAAGTGGTATCGCTTCCGGAAATTTTGTGGCTACACAGAGGGCCGTCAAGATGTACCGACAACCTTGCCTGGACTCTGGCAATGGCTGGATGATATCAATTACTAGGCGCCGGAAAGGTTCTGTGATAACTGGCACAAGCTTCATGGATGCCTTCCACTTGTCCGTGGATTTTCCCGCTCTCTGACAAGTGTCGCATGAGTGTAGAAAGTCTTCAATATCCTTCCAGCATTTCGGCCAATAAAATTCAAGGGAAACTCTAGCCTTGGTCTTTTTTTATGCCGAGATGCCCTGCCCACGTGTTTTCATGCGCCAGTTCCAATAGTTGTCGACACTACTTATGTGGCACCAGGAGCTGCTCATACTCTCGACCTTGAGCATTTGTGTAGCTCTGATACAAGAGCCCTGCTTTATCAAAAAAAAGGAAACATTCTTTTGCTTTTTTTTCGAAGTCTACGCTTTCCATTAGCGCTTTATTCGAGAGGTCCTCACGCTGCTCTCGAATGAGCGTTTTTCGATCAACCCTCGACAGCTCACTCCAACTTTTCGCTACAGGCGAGAGTGTTGCACCCCTCTCACTCTGACTCAATGGCGCCATGTCGTCTCCTCCACAGACAGAGACCACGTCAGTCGCTTCGGCGACGGGCCGCTCGAGTGACTACTGAACTGACTCACACAGAGAATTTTCTGTCTGAGGTTCCGTCGACTCGCCGCAAAGGTCACGCAGATCAGCAGGCTTTGCAGGTGGTGTTAGACCACACTGAACAAGATCAAGTTGCTGCGAAAGCTTCCGCGCTTGCGACCTCGTGAGGGTTATGTACACTAAGTAGGAGAAGAACGATTTACCCTACTCTTTCAGAAGCTGCTTTGAGTTATTAGAAAAAAGAAAAGGAAAACGACCGGGAAGCGCGGCAGAGAAGGCCGCGTTGGTACAAAGATTACCGAACTGGCCTTCAAAGACAACCGTAGCGATTGGTAAGCAAGCACTCTGCTCCTTGGAGACTTGTCTGATTCACGCGCATTCTCCTGTAAAGTCATCTGGAGACACCAACGAAGGATGAACAACGTCCATGGTTGCCGCTGAGTCTCGAAGTGCTCGACACGTTTTCCCATTCACACATATTTCTTGGAGATACGGCTCTAACAACCGCATGTTCTTTTCCGATTCTCGTATTGTTGCGAAAGCAAACTTTTGCTTACAGTTTATCGCGATGCGCCCTTCATTTTTGCAGTTGTAGCAGATTAGCGGCTTCCATGATTCAAACGCCTGTGTGGTATCAGTGCATTGTTTAGGAACCTCACTCGATTTCTCCGCTTCCGTTTGCCCTTCTCCTACAGTGTCCTTCGTAAAAGACGGGTCCTTCCTCAAATAACGGTGCGGAGCGGGCTTCCGTTGATCAGGTTTCTTTGAAAAACCCTCTTTCCTTTCATTCTTTTCAACGCGCACTGCCCTGTTATGCAACTTTCGGCCAGTATAATACTCCTCAGCTAACTCTGCCACCTTGTTTAGGTGTACTTCATCAAGTTTCTCCTGCAGCCAAAGCTTGGCATCCTCCTCAATGCGGCGGTAGAATTGCTCCAATGCAGTGCCTTCTACCACTTTATCGCGATCGTCATAAACACCTTCGCACTTGAACTATTCAATTAAATCGACTTTAAGACGAAACGCGAAGTCAACGCGTGACTCATTCCCCTTTTTAGCATACCGGAACCTTTGCCTGAAAGCCTCGGGTAACAACTTATAACGTCTCAAGAGCACTTCCTTAACCTCGTCATAGCTCTCAAACGCTTCCCTCGACAAGCACGTTATTACGTCGGCCACTTCGCCGGGAAGAAGAGCTAACAGGTTCTGCGCCCAAAGAGACCGCTCTAAAGTATTTCAATCACAGACATGTTCAAACTTGGCAAGATATGTCGCAATGTCCTCGCCTACTACGAACAGTGGCAGTTGGTCCCGAATTCTATAACCGCTGACCTGAACTATCGCAGAAGCTACGCTAGGCGCCTGCGAACACTGTAGGATTGCCAATTCTATTCATTTCAACTCAAGGCGCTCCTGTCTCTCGGCCTCTTCACGGTGTTCTCGCCTTTCAGCTTCTTCACGTTCGCGAACTTCTCGCCTTTCAGCATCCTCCCAGCGTGCTTTCATATCTGCCAAGGCCTCATCGACTTCCTTAGCTGACACTCCTTCATCCTTCATGATCTCAAGGATCGCTTTCTTTCGTTTCGCACGGCCTAAAGTAACACCAAGCTACTCACAAATTTCGATGAGTTCCTTCACTTTAAGGTTCCCCGTCGTTCACACTATCCTCTTGCTGTTTGCCCCGGATAAGAATCTACTTGCCGTACCCAGTATAAGTCTACTAGCACGACACGCAAGTAGTTTTTAACACTGCCGTGTTTAATCCCTCCGCATTACCTTTGGTTTTGAAGTGCTTCGACTTGGCTTGAAACGATCAAAGCTCACTCTAATGCTTCATACAGCCCTTCTCTGAAATACTATAACCTGTGCTAGAGTAGTCAGGTGAACTCAGGGGAAACATCAGGCACTCACCGCATCGATGTCGCTGACGCCGGCCGATTCCACTGCTGCCAACACTGTTACGAAGGCGTGACGCCAACAAGGTCCCGAAGGCGCCACTGCTCCGAACTCCGCCACCAAGGTCACCAGCCGTTTGGTAGCGTGTGTTACTCAGCTCGCGACTGCTTCTGCGCAGAGCCGATAGACGAGCGGACGAGACGACGGTGAGTTAAGGCAAGGTTTATGTACAGCATAGAATTAGAGGCGTTACGAATTCGGCACTCGGGCCGGCAGCTTAGGGACTCGAAGAACTGAGATGTCTTCTCTCGCAGCTGCCAACCCCTGTTACGAAGCGCACCACCGACGAGGTTAAGAAAGGCGCCATGAAACTCGCCGCTGCCAAGGACACCAGCCTTGTCGACAGTGAAAGGGGCTCGAAGCAACAGAGAGGCTTCTCTGACACATAGGTCTACTGCCGGTGACGCGCTGCAGGGCTTTTCTTATAGGCACTGGGTGGATCCTTTGAGTGACAAACGTCCAACCAGAAGCGCCGCTGGCCGTAATGTCAGAATCCTCAAATGGGGCCGGCCACTGGGCCATGTCATGCTCATCAAATGTAGAGTCGCTGCACGTGGTTGCACCCAAGGACGAGTGACGTTTCTTCCAATTGCGTAAGACTGGCCAGACTGGAGGGCACAGATCGCTTCAACGGGCTCGTGGGCTGAGGGAGCTCGCTGTACTTGCGTGACAGACCACCGCTTGATGACGTCGTTGAGCTGATCGCGTCAGGCGGGCTCGACGGCTGACCTTGACACAGATTTCCTTTGCCGAGGCATTGACGTTCGGTGTTAAATCCCAGGCGTAACATATGCTGCAGAGAAAGCCGAGGCTCAGATCCAGCAAGCTTACAAGGCTGCGCTTGGGTTGCTTAACAACGCGCCTACAGAGAAGCTGTGAAAACTAGGGGTGCGAAATACCCTGGACGAATTATGGGAGGCGCATCTGGTGATGCAGCACGCTAGGCTTTCGACAGTCAATGCGGGCAGGTATTGGAAATGATTGGCATTGGACCGAGGGCTCCCACCGGGGCCACTAGAATTCAGGTGAGGCGAGAGTTGCATAAGGCCCTCTGCATAAAACCTTTGCCCGAAAATATGTATTCGATTCACCATAATCAGCGCAGGCAGGCAAGAGCCAGAGCTTTGCACGTTGAAGTAAGGTGAGTACAAAGTGGCAGTCGTGGAATGAAAGGACAAAGACGCTTCTGTGATTGTGGTAGTGGACGGACGGGGACGCTTGGTCGCCTCTCGATCGATCAACCCCCCTCCCCCCTCAGAAACTGCAGAGGAAGCGGCAACAGCGCTAGCTATAACTAATTCGCAGTCGGACTTGATTCTCAGTGATTCAAAGACAGCCATCCTAAATCATGCGAGGGGCAGAATATCGGCGACCACCGCACGACTTCAC